CCTCTCTGTTTTTCCCTCCTTACCCCTCCCATGTTACGCATTCATCAGCTGTTTTTTGGCCGGTATTTGTGTGCATTTCACCCGAAGCATGCCTAGAAACAGAGAGAATGATTTAGCTTTTCACTTCCGCTCATGTGTGACAGCTCTAAGCCTGATGACTTTTTCAACTCAGCACTGTTTACTCCAATTGTGTGCACCCACATCTTAATTCCAAGACATTTACTATATTAGCAATACAAATAGGAGCACTAGAGGGATCCTGGAGTCTGTAGTAACTCATTCAAGTAACTCATGAATGCTCTTTCATTCCAGTGGGTTAGGGACAGCACAGCAGGAAGGCAGCTTTCAAATACTTGACATTTAATGGATTCACTCAGACTAGAAAGTTTGATTTTAACTGTTTGATGTTCCAGCCAGTGTTTTCCATAATTTGTGGTGTGTGTGTGTGTGTGTCTGTGTCTGTATATACAAGATAAAGATTTTTCCCAATACAAGAAAAAACTCCCAAGCCCGTAATTGACTGTGTTTTTTCTGGAAATAAAGCAAATCCAAGTTTATTTCAAAATGGTCTGAGGTTCAGCATGCAAAACAGTTAAGCTTCTGTTTTTCTTGGCTTTGCTTATGAGTACCGTCTGGTACTTCATGGCTTTGGTCTCTACCTGTTCCCAAAGAATACAGCCTGTCTATGCTTGTTATGTGTGTCGGGAAAGAGAATGGGGGAAATAGCACTTCACAGCACTTTGGGTAAAAATTGTGCAAACCAAAATTTCAGCTCCAATCAGTGCTGTGGGCTGGTGACTTGTTTGTTTCTTTGCATGAGCAGCCAAGGTAAAAAAGAACTATTTGTTTTAACTTGGGAGACTATAAAAAGTAACGGGACTGAAGTATTGTATGTATGTTGGAAGAGTGAAGCCTAAGTCATCTGCTGCTGTTTTTGTCTTTAGGCCATGCCTCATTTACCAAGATGGAATTCTTTTGGAAGTTTTTGGTCACATCTACAGTCTGCTTTACAGTCTGATGCCAGTTTGTAATGTACAACCAGCTGCACTAAATTACACTGAGTCTCTTTTTTTCCCCAATAAGCTGATTATCAGAGAAAGCAGAGACCCCAGAGTGACATTTTACAAGAAAAGAAATAAAGAAGATATTTCTATAGCAGCTTACTGTTTCCAAAATGACCATTCTGATACAAGAAATGATGGATGATGATCTCAAATGAAAATTCAAGGAAACAATTTGAGATAAGGTAGGCACTCAAATACTGTGATAAGGACCTTAAAAATAAATATCATTAAACTAAAGGAAAGAAAGGAAACAAAGTTAGTTATAAAGCTAATAAAAGTTTCTAAGGTTCATCTAGAAAAGCTGGTTTTGTTGCCTTTTCATAGCATGTACGTCATGGAAAATGTAATTTATCTGTAAATCTGTTTAAAGCATAACTCTTATCTCATAAACAGGATGGTAAAATCAAGCTATACAAAAGTAAGGGGTAATTTTCTACTCAAATCTCAGATTCAGATTCCTGAGAGTAAACCAAATTTTTTGTAAACTTAAGCAATCAATTTCAAGACAATTCAGGAACTGGAAGAAAATACATGTTTTCTAATTGTTTACATTCCTTATACTTACCACAGAAAATGTACATAAGCTTTTCTTATACAAATAAATAACAGAGGTTTTTATAATGTTCCAGTCAAATATTCAATAAAAAAGGAAAAATAACTGTCTGAAAATTTGCAGAGACATGATTCTAACATAATGCAAAACATTATAATCTCTTTTGGAAATACTCAACAGTAAATATATTGCAAAGGTAAGTCCTATATTTTCTTCCAACATGCTAATATACAACACACATTATAAACCTAAAATTAGGTATATTACATCAATGAGAAACATGTTGTATCATCATTAAACTATCATGCATCTCCATTTCACATGCAGACAAGATCTTACAAGCAGATTTTATTTAAAGATAGTTTCTAAAATCTTAATTTGCTAAAAGTAGTTAGAAATAGGAACAGAATTCACTCATCAACTTTGTTTTTACATAAAGTTTTCAAGCCACTGTTAAGTATGTATGCATTTAGACAATTATCTTACCTGCAAAAAAAAATGTTCAGATTCCTTATTAGATGTTATCGTCATGACAAGCCAAGCAACCTTTTATAGAAGATTGGGTGTACTTTAGATTAAAGCACATATATGTATGTTTTTAAAAGTTCCCCAAAGAGTCTCCCTTAACTCTCTGTCAGTCAAAGGCAAGTTGGTAAGAGTCTGAATTGGAATTACCTGAATGAGGAAACCGGAGAGAGGGAGAGAGAGGGAAAGGAATCTGAGAGGAGATTCAGTGATGTCAGCAGTATGTCTTGAGGAAATCTACAGCTGAGCCCAGCAAACTTTATAACTACATAGCACTCAACACCCAGTTACGTGGTAAGTAAATACCTGCTTAAAAGGAAACTGATGCACTTTTAAAGAACGTCAGTTAATCTTTGAAGAAACATTAGCCATGCTGATCAAAGTCCCAGAAAGGCCTTATTGCTTAAACAAATAAAAGGCTTTGCACAAGTCTTATAAAAAAATTAAAAAGAATAATAAAAAAGAAAAAAAATCAACATTATTGATGACCCCATTCCTTTTGGAAATAAGAAGACTAAAACTCATCTGAAATAAAGTTATAACAGGACTATTGTAATACACGGAGCCATAATAGCCATAGTCACAGTTGAGATCCCTGACCACTAATGTTTCCAAGCTGGTTAGTGATGACACTGTTTCTTTCTGATTAATTGTTCCAAGGTTTCCTGTGTGCTGTTCCCTCTGTTATTTCCCAGATGCCAAAAAATAAAGAGAAATGATGCAGATATGATTTGGAAAAACTTGGGTACCTTCTGAATTCAGAGATGAAGAGGTGTAAGTGTTTTGCCATCCAGAAGTCTTCTTGTCTGCCTGACATGCCGCTGTGTTGTTTGATGGGCTTCCCAGAAGTAATCCCAAAAGGAGAAATGAAAGGGAGGACACTGCAGTGCTGGGAATATTTATCTTTTGGCCCTTAGATATTGTTCTCTTACATATGACCTCCCAGATGTACTGCTTCCAGAAATGTTGTCTTAGCAAGCCGGTCCAATACAACTGTGGGTTTAGCAACAATTACAGAGCCTCTCAATGGCAGTAGAGATGCTACACTACCCTTGCCCTATTTCATGTCAGGTACTGAAAGGTGTTTTAAGTGTGACTTTTTACTAGTAAAAATCTTAACCATGTCACTTCAAAGAGAACACATCGGCAGAAACAAAAATTTTCCCTTCCACAAAGGCATTGGTAAACAGACATTAATAATGTCACCGATATGCAACCATAGGAAACCAGAGGTCTGGAATTCTGCCGTTATGTGGTCAAATATGTAGGCATTTAGGCAGTGCCAGCAGGCAACAGCTGTTTTAAATTTAAAAGGACATAAGTAATATGTGATTTTTTTCTTTGTTAGAGACAAAAGAATTTCGAACAACTCAGACTGCTACCCAAATCCTTGAACCTGTTACTCTGAGTTCCCCATTATTATTATTATGATGATGATGATGAAAGGAGAGCTGGTAGCAAACTCTATATTTGGGTTGCCTAAAGCTTTGCATTAGAAAAAATCTTGTGAGCTTTTTTCACATGTTGCTGGTTTTGAGTAGCTCGATTATTTCCACTGTTAGATCTAAAACTGGGCAGGAATAAAGCCTATGCACTATGGAACTCCTCTTCATCCTCCCAGGACGTGCCATTCAAATATACCTGAGCTATAAACTATTACATTTAGAAAATGTATCATCTCCCAATTATATTTCTTGGGAAAATGTTGGCAGCCTCCCCAGATAACAGGTGAATATTTTAAATTACTGAGTTCAGATTAAAGTAGGCTATACTGCCATGGGAAAGCCTGGTTGCTGCCTAAGCAGCTGTAGTGGTAAAAGCAGGATGTACCTGCTGACCTTTCCCTTTGAATTTGTATATGGATCCAGTATTCAGTCCCTTCTATGAGAGTATCAAGTAGGACAAGAGTTCCTCTACTGCCACTGTCAGTCTGTGCTACAGTGCTGGAGATTCAGTTCACCCTCACCTGACTAGTGATCTGGGATTATAGATTTTTCACCTAAAAAAAAGAGACAAAGAAATTACTTGCAAATATATATATTTAAACATTAAAGTTACAAAAAAAAGCGCATGAAGGATTGGAGGTGCCTATATTAGTTGGCCATGCAGCCCTAACTCAAACCATTATATAAGTGCATTATGATCTTTAAAAACAGGGTATGGATTCTTAACCCACTACCTGTTCGCTTTTGTGATTCCTTTGTGCCTATGGGTTTATTACTCATTTGTCTCTCCCAGAACTGCCCCCTCCCCCATCTTTCCCTCCCCTCCTTGTCTTTTTTATTCAAATCACTTTCTCTATTTGCTACATGACCGCTCTGTTCATGTCCTTTCACAGCATCTGATGAAGTGTTTCAGTTCACTAAAGTTCATGCTATACATCTCTGATTTAGTTAGTCTATAAGGTGCAAACCTACCTGGCCTTCTGTAATTGTACAATCACAGGCTACTTTTTCTCAAAGGACTCTGTCTCATCCAGTGTGTAGACTGAATATATAAAAAGGCAGAATTAAGGGTGCATGAGTATAATATCAGTCTGACATTTCCTAACTTTTGAGCACTTGAATTTGGAACCTAAAAATTCTGTTTTATAATACAGAGATGTATAGGGTCATAGCATACAGGTCTCTTGACAGAGAAATCTGAACAGAGTGTTTCTGTCTTTAAGACTAGATACAGACATTCAAAAAGCCTGAGGTGGAATAGATCTAAATTATGTGGTTTTCTGTAAGCAGCATAGTTTAGACCAGTAGCAAACAGAACACACATTAGCCCTTTGGTGGGGGCAAATCTTAGACTGGCTTCCACCTTTCTTAAACCAGTCTGTGTGCACTGACCTTCTGTTCTGTTATGGGTATAGACTGGTTTCCGATCAGTTATACTGGTAAAAGTATAATATCTGTACCTGGCTAATAGTTTATAATACATGACATTTGTTCACCATAGATCTGTACAGTAGCTCACAAAACCATTGGCACGCAAGGTCATTTTGCTCGGCATACCACCGCCAGCCCGAGCTCTAAGCAGCTGCTGCCAGCCATGGAGCCCAGGCTGCTCCCAGCAGGCCGCTGGGAGGCTGCAAGCCCTGCTGCAAGCAGACAGGCCTCCGTGGGCTGGCTGCAGCCAGGAGGCTGCAAACAGCTGCTCCGGGCTCTGGCATGTTGGCACTCCAGCACCTTCCAAGGTAGACATTGTGGTTTTTTCAGGACTCTGGCCAAAAAACTTTGCCTACCCCTGGTTTAAAGCAATAATAGTTTGTCTATCCCTTTGGGATAGACAGAGTTCAGATGCCTATCCAAACATCTTCAATCTACAAACATGGGCAGGGGAATCTCAAGATAATAACAGAATTTCTTAAAACATTTCCAGCTTCTACACTATATTTTGAACGGAGTCAAGTCAGATTAAGAGACAATAAAACTAGAATCTCAGGAAGAAAATTGTTTAGCTATTTCAGACCTGCAAGGCTTGTTACAAGTTCACAGTTTTAATTTTTTTAAAGGTTTATGTCAGCTCTTATTTTATGGTTAATGCTTTGCCTATCAAAAGGAGGGAGAGCCTCCAAAGCTGTCTGTGCATACAAATAGGCAAGTTTGCTAAGTAGAAAAAAAGCCATAATGAACTTTAAAAGCCTTGCATCTTTCTATTAAGATATCAGAAAAACATTCTGCTTTCCTCTGAAACCAAAAAGGCTCAACAAAATTTAAAGAGGCAGACATCACATAGGTCAATGGTGGCCCACCTTCCAGCTCTGTAGGCCAGATGAGTGGTATAGGACTGATCCACAGGGCAGATACCACATAGAGTCAGTATGTGGGGTCAGTTGGTAGGTGCAAAGCAGCATATAAGCCTGAACCCATGTACCCAAAGCTGGCTGCACAATAGCAACTGTGCACCTGCAACTGGTCGTATCCTGGCCTGGCCCCATATGCTGGTCCAACACTGTGTACCAGCCTGACCCCATGTGCCTAGATCTGGCTATGCACTGGTGTAATCTGGATGCAGGATTACAATTTCTGGCCTACAGGGCTCCACATGGGTTCAGAAATCTGGCAGCAAAAGTGTGTGTCGACACATGACGCTGCGACATAGCATCCACGGGTGTCTACATGTGACCAGCAGCTACTTCGCCATAGCAGTGCACCTCTCTGTTATATTGCACCGCTACAGTGAAGTAGCTGCTAAAAATAATTGTGCACTGTGCGTACAGTGCCATACGGGCGGTTACTGCACTGTGCTTTAGTCCTTGCAGAAGGAACTACTAAAGCACAGCGCTGTAACAACATCACTGTAGGGCAACGTGTAGACGCACCCAAAGAGTGGCAATGAATGCTGCCACTGCTACCCTGCTGCCAGTTTTCTGGATCCTTGTGGGCTGAGCACCCCTGCTAAAGGTAAATCTTCAGAGGAAATAGTCTGTAGCAGCATAACTAAAGGGCTAAGTAGAGGGGACACCAGTATGGCTCCCTGACCCCAGGAGTTTGCCATAGCAAGTACAGCCCAGTTGAGCAGTACAGCCCCATGCCCGGTGGTATATCTGGGTGGGGGGATGGAATGACACCTCCTCCTCCCAGAGGTTTTGTCATGAAGGCACAGCTCTTTGAGAGAGGAACAAATGGGGAACTAGGAAAGGTCCCTGGGAAGCCTGCACTGCTTTCTGTTACTCAGGGGCAGCATCACAAGCCTCTACTGGGACAGCCCTAGTGAGGAGAACCAGGACAGATGAGACTCTTTTCTTCCTCCCCTCTCTCCCGCCCCTCACCCCTCACTGGATCAATTATCCAATGATCAGCATAATTCTCTCCCCACAACACCTCTGCCCCAGGTGCTGAAAGAGCTTGTTGCTTCTCTGATAGTCTGGGTTACAATTTATAGCCATAAACTACAGAATAGAAACAAATCTGACCAAACTACATTTTTCAGTTGTTCTTCCTTAGATGTCTTAAGAGGGCTAGGTACCTAAACTCCAGTGGAAAAGAGCACAGACCATCTGCAGATGCTTCCTCAGCCTGACAAAGGGTATTTGTACCTGAAAGCTTGCAAAGAAGAATTTTTCCAATTCCTTGAGTTGGTCTAATAGAAGGTAGCAGATTTACCCAAAGAACCTTGTCTGGCTGCTTTTGTAAATGTCACTAGGTTCCTATCTGCCTCTTTAGGCAACTTTATAAATCTGGCCCTTGTCCTTAAATTTATTTGGTGCCACAGGAGTGTATCAGATATGTGAATACCTCTTGGCCTCCGCATTTCAGGTCTCTACCTATAAAATGATGATAATAAAGTGCCATTAATTCCCAGCAGTGTTATGAGGATAAATACAAAAAAGGTGTTGAGGTGCTCAGACACTATCCTGGGGGGGGGGTCTATATAAAATAAAAAGAAAGCCAATCTCTCTCAAACAATATAATACTCTTTTTTCAATAACGACAAAATTTATCACATTTCCAATGTTACATGCAGC